GACACGACCTTTATTTCAAATCTGGCGCGAACCGGCAAGCCAGTTCCTGAATCAGTCACGTGGTACGGACTGCCCGCGAGGCCTCGAACGTCACTGCATACGTAATCAAAGCAAGCCTCAATACGCGCTTACCAAAAACTCCCGAGATTACGACACACGCTCCGAAGCTTCGACACACAGGACACATCACTAGTGAACACCTGCACAGACTGTCTGTGACTGCTTGGCTGATTCTGGTTCATTTACTGCAGTGATGAGAGCCTCACACATGGACCCACGATTCACAGTCAAATGTTTGAAGCTGGAGATCTTTATCTGTACTGAGCGCAGCTCTCGGCTGTTGCACCGATACAGTGCGAAGGCTGTGTGCTCACACGCTGCTGCAGCATGTGCACGTCACACTTCCTGGAAAGCAGAGTACTCGTCTTACCCTCCTCATAGGGGCAGAACGTCTTCTGCACCCACTCCGAGTGCTGCCCGTCCACGGTGGCTCGCACCCGGAGCACGGAGTCGCCCATGAATGACAGGTTGAACCGTGTGAGGTCACATGACCGGTGTGACGTCTGGTTGCACGCAGTGATCCAGATTGGAGTCTTCTTCTTAGACTTCAGCTTGTGCTTCCTGAGGAGACGAGAACATGAAAACACATTAAACCCTTCTGCTCTTTCTTTGTGTTCTGTCTTCGCTCGCTCCTCCCCGAATACTCGGCGGGTCTGGAGGGAGAGCTTTCATTCAAATAAAGTCAAATTACAACAGCAACACACCAGCCGTGTTTCAGTAAACGTGTCTAAACAAGCGTCATCTGTGTTTCATCGGTCGGGGCTGGGAGGTTAACGCCTGTGGAAGCAGGATGATGGGGACGAGGGAGGAAAACTGCGAAGAGGAAGGCTGCTCCACGGCTCTCTGAGGCATGGAGCACACTCTGACTTACACTTAAACTCGTATTAAAATATCAGCGAGGAGTTAAAAGGTCTTTATGTGATCACATGATGGCAGGCCAGGTGGTTAATAAACGTCCCAAATGACTTCCAGTGAAACCAGAGAGGAGAAACACGAGCTGTAATAATAATAATACATTTGATTTAAAAGCGCCTTTCAAGACACCCAAGAACACTTAAGAATACAATAAAATGACAAAATGAAGAGTGACTACCCCATAGACAAAAAGAAGAAACTAGAAGGGAAGACTGACAGCGCACTTTGTCAGTGTAAGCAGCACAGTAGAAACGTATGGAAAACGTATGGAAAACGTATGGAAAAGAAACCCCAAAGCAAAAACAAACAAATAAAAATAGTAGCAAA